CGAAGACTGTTAATTCAGCACTTGATCATTCTGACTGGGTTCAGGCCATGCAAGATGAGCTGAATGAGTTTGAAAGGAACAAAGTATGGCGTCTAATTCCAACTCCAAAGGATGCTTCGGTTGTCGGTCTCAAATGGGTATTCAGAAACAAGATGGATAAGGAAGGGAACGTAATTCGTAACAAAGCTCGCTTAGTGGTGAAAGGCTATTGTCAAGAAGAAGGTATCGATTATGAAGAGACTTTCGCTCCAGTTGCAAGATTAGAGTCTGTTCATATCTTTCTTGCCTATGCTGCACACAAAAACTTTGAAGTCTATCAGATGGACGTCAAGTGTGCTTTTCTCAACGGCGAACTTGAAGAAACTGTGTACGTTGAGCAACCGCCAGGCTTCGTAAACGAGGAGCATCCAGATCACTGTTATATTCTTGACAAAGCGGTATATGGCCTAAAACAGTCTCCCAGAGCATGGTATGAAACTCTCACTCAATTTCTAAAAATGTCTAAATTCAAACAAGGTTCGGTTGACCCAACCTTCTTTCGTAAGAGAGAAGGTAACCACCTTATGATAGTCCAAATTTACGTTGATGATATCATCTTCGGCTCCACGAATCCCAGCTTGACAGCTGAATTCAGGAAGTTGATGGAAACTAAATTTGAGATGAACTCAATGGGTCCAATTAACTTTTTCCTTGGCTTAAACATTAGACAGGGACCCGAAGTCATTTTTATTAATCAGGAGGCATACACCAAGACACTACTTGCTAAGTTTGGTATGATGGGAGATTCCAGAGTTAAAGTTCCAATGGCTTTTGGGACAAAGCTTACACCCTCATTGGAGAAGCCAGCCGCTGACATGAAGCTCTATCGTCAAATGATTGGGTCTCTAATGTATCTCACGGCTAGTAGACCTGACATCATGTTTTCAGTCTGTTACTGTGCCAGATTCCAAGCTAACCCACGCAAACCTCATTTGCAAGCTGTGAAAAACATCTTTCGCTATCTGAAGCGAACCTCCTCTCTCGGTCTGTGGTATCCAGCCAACTCAGGATTCTTTGTTCAAGAGTTCTCAGATGCTGACTTAGGTGGCTGTGGATTAGACCGTAAAAGCACCACTGGAGGATGCCAATTTCTAGACGGTAAATTGGTTAGCTGGCAATCGAAGAAACAAACATGGGTTTCTCTTTCCACTGCAGAAGCTGAATACATCGCTGCAACATCATGCACATCTCAATTTGTATGGATACAAAGTTAGCTTAGAGATTATGGGCTGAACATGAAGAAAATCCCACTATATTGCGACTCTGAAAGTGCAATTAGAATCTGTCACAACCCAGTGCAACATTCAAAGACTAAACATATCGCACTGAGGTATCACTTCATCAAAGATCACGTGGAAGATGGCAACGTGGAAATTCATTTCGTAAGGACGACTGATCAACTGGCAGATATATTCACTAAGGCTTTACCTGAAGCAAGCTTCAACAAGATTTTGCAAGGCCTAGGAATGATGGAAGCAGAATCAGTACCAAAATCGCCTTCGCTTCAATAAAGGTAAGAAGCGAAATAGAGTGAACCGAAATGAACCGAGCGTTCGGTCTATTTCGGGTTCGGCTCGACCATGAACCGAAATGAACCGAGCGTTCGGTCTATTTCGGGTTCGGTCTATCTGAACTCGTTCGCTTCTTTTTCATTTCAAGGCGTTTTCATTGTATTCTTTTGTATACTATTTTAAAATCCAAAAATATTGTTTTTTTTCTTTCGTTTTAATTAAAATTTTCACAAAATACAATTTTTTTTTATGCTTTCTCTTGTATAAATGTTACTCTCACTGATAAGGCTCCAACAGGTATTAATCTCAACTGTGTACTAGTTAAGTGTCCCTAGAAGCATGCTGCTGTATGTTGACCAAAGCCTCGAACGATTCTGAGTAAAGCCTTAATGACTTGTTACATACAAATCTTGTCTCACCAATCCGGCTATCACATTTACTCTAATCATGAGCTGCCATACTCTTCTCAAATTGAGTAAAGAGTTTTTCTGCTTTCTCAATCTGTTCTAGAAGAGGCACTTTCGGTTCTATTACCCACCTTATTTTTCTCCATCACTGATTCGTTTCACATATTGTAACCCTTGAGACTCTCAACAATAACCACTGAGGTTTATGGTTATACAAAATATGTGTTAATGATCTTAGTTTCGTGTCACTACGTACTAAGTGAAACCCACCATTCAATACCATTAATGAATTGACGACACATGAACTATATGTTACAAATGAAATCTCTTTTTATTTTGCGTGATTCTTCTGAAATTTTCTATTACCAAGAATTTTTCTTCCCCAAGGATCCAGTTAAATTTTTTTGGGATTTCTCACCTATCCAACAGTCAATAAATATTTTCCCTACCTACTTGTTCAACAGATCACATTGATCTCACAAGTACTTCGTTCAGTTTCGGTCTTATATCAAGTATCGAAATCACGGATTGAAGCAAAAGCCACCCTTTATAAGCTTTAATTAAAAGATGCCTTTCAATACTTCTTAACAAGTACTTGATCGTTATTTAATGGGGAGCCACACAAGCACTTTAAAGTCTCTCTTGACTTTGAAGGAAGAGATTCGTGCCCATAATCAGCTGCTTTATGTCTTGTTAAGACTTCACAAATTATCACAAAAAGTTTGCTTTATTTCTTTATCTTTGACACTCTTTGCACGAAAATTTTTGATTTTCCAAAATCTGGTTCTATTCATGGTGTTCTAATATCTTCAAGTATTACAATGCTCGATAAAGTTACAAAGGCAATGACGGTTCATGAGAAATATGGGGTGACGTTTGGGATATAGTTAAAGCTGAGTCAGCTGGCAACAACTGAACTCAACGATTTGAAATCTGAAAGGCAGGTTATTCGAAGCTCTGTTGGCGATGTTCACTCCATTTTGCTTCACCTTCTTGATGCTCATGATCCCATCATCACCATTACCATCCGAAGGCACTTGGCTGAGAAACTCAGACCTGCACTGGCTATCCTTAGTCGTATTGAGGGTGTTCCGGTGACTGGTGTCCAGCCGAAGCAAGGGGGAGAGAAGGTAGCGAAGACTCAACCACCTCCTGAACCGAAATCAACTACTGAACCGAAGGATAATGAAGCTTCGGTCAGTAAAAGGAACAAGAAGAAAAAGAAGATCGGTGAAGACGACATTGATGATGAAAATGATGTTTTTGAAGAAAATCCTGAAAACCTTTATCAGAAAACAAAACCAACTAATAAAGAGCTTGAAGAAAAGATCAAGAAGCTAACGGCTGTCCAAGAGAAGAAGCAAAAAGAGAAGGAGCTTATAGAAAAGAAAAAGTCCATTTTTCCAGAATGGACTATTGACTCGCTTCAAAGAAGCGCCATAGACGAACCAAGTGTTCTTTGGCTCGAACCAGTCATGTCCTTTGGGCTTGAAAACTCCAAGGATGCACAGTTTGACATGCCAATCACTCGAAAGGCATTCATCTTTCACTGCTTCAACTCAACTGCTGCTATCCCTTCTCCAGACCCGAAGGTGGATCGGGATCTTTTGGAGTTCTATCTGGAATTTGCTCAATCACAGTACCTGACATGGAGCTCACAGAAAATTACTACTGTCAAGGTTTCTGAAGCCTTACTCAGCAGGGAAGTTTGTTAATGTGAAATTCAAAGTGACTCGAGGCTCTGAAGGCTCGGTTCACAACTTTTCCCTGGCTAATCTACCGAACCTTAACCCACACGACTGGATACTCCTCAACAACATTTTGCTGTCCAATCCTCAGGAGTATCAGCCGATCATAGACCATATCAAGCGAATGCTTGTATGCTACATTCACGAAGTAGCGAAAATGGACCAAGAGGTCGCCTCTGCCATTCACAAGCGTCCAACGATAAAACCTTCTAGCAGAATGGGCGATGTAAATGTTATGGTCAAGGGTAGAATTGATCCCCAGTCTCACACAGTGATGTTCCTCAGAGGCGAAAAGCAAAAGTGTATCTTCGCTCTGTGTGATAAGCACTTATTCTCAACTGCTTGCTTGGAGCATATTTTGGAGATTATCCACAAGTGCAATCAGAATTCTGCAACCGACAAGAAGATGTTTACTGACATGCTGAGATGGTACATTCAATTTCGGCAGACTCTTCTTGCAATCATCCCTCGGCTGTTCAAGGTGGTGAAAACTGTGAAGCCTACTCAAAGAAAATGATCTCTCGCCTCATTTGACGCAAAGGGGGAGATTGTTGGGCTTATAGTGTTGCGTCATGGGCTCGGTCCTTAGCCCAGTTTTGGAAGCCGGTTTGGGCCTGTCCAACCGTGCATGTTTTTCTCTAGGGTTTAGTATTTAAGCTGCATGCATGCAGTCTTTGTTATTAAGGTTTTTATTATTCTGATTGAGGATTGTAAACCCTAGCTCGCCTCTACAGTGGAAGTTCTTCATAGAGCTCTGCTGAGGCGTGACTATATTTGAATCATAAGCATAATGTTGATTCTGTTCTGTGTTCTTAATATTATTGTGTTTGTTTTGTTTGATCTTCATCTTTTACCTGTGAAAGATCTAATCAATCTGAGATTTATTCTCATCAAGATTGATTAGAAGCAGCCATTGAAATTAAGATATTACAGCTGAAGTGGTATATAGAAGAACTTTTATCCTGAACATAGAAATGATTTAGATACCAAGGTAATCTACAAATAACTATAATTTGTTCTTATGGATTCAAAGGACAACCACTTAGGCTCTGATACCATTGTGAAAGCAAGGATCTGTGCGGACAAGGTTTGAGAACTCAAACCTTGAATTAACTTAAAATCAATGTCTACTAATAATAACGATTTAGTCAAGTCTGGTAAACCAGTCTTGTCTCAGAATAAGAAGTTCCACAAAGTGCTCAAAGTGAATATATAATAAGTATGAATAGTGTAAATATATTCTAGAACAATAAGAATGTTAGAAAGAATGTTTGACTGAATGAGTCTTGATATTGATGCGAAAGGTGTATGTTCCACACACGATACAAAGGTGACTACTCCTTAAATAGTCAGAGGAGTGACTACATGACAAATCTGATAAAGTGCATGAACTAGGAGACATCTGAAGATCAACAGACTGACACAACCATTGTTGATGGTCTTGTCTCTTGTACTATACGAATAGACAAAAGGAACAATAAAAAATAGTACTTGTAACAATAAATGCATATTACAAACTCAGAATAACTTCAACAAAAGATGCATCTCAGACTAATCTTCACTTCAAAATGGTCTCCACTTCGGAACTTTCTCGCCTCGTACAAACTTCACCTTAGATTGCTAAAGGATCACTTTTCATGTATCAACACATGTTTGCTTTAATAACATACGCCATGTGGGCTTTATAATTATTTCTTTAATGTTTAAATGGGCCTATCTATATTAGATTAATACTCGAACTAGAAATCATTATCCAAATTTCCTTAGGAGGGACTAATAGTCTAGTGCTGACTCCACCATTGAGGACAAGACCGTTATCCAATGAGCAATGGGAATTGTACCTTTCGCCATGAGCCCAACATGGCAACCTATAGTGAGGCCCAAAAGAGAGAGACGTCCACCTGCAACTGCAAGGTTAATAAACTAGCCGAAGCCTAAGTCGAACCGCCACAAATAAACCACGAAGTTTCATCAAGGGATTGATATGGTCAAACTCATGTTTTCCTTTTTTTTTTTCGCGATAGTAAATTGTTCATTCTTTTCAGTAATTTCACTCATATATAGAAGTTAGAAGTAGTGGGTTACTTTTATTCCATTCTTGATTATTTAATTTTGTATGCCTTACTTTGGATAATATGCAGAAAATTGTTTCAAAAACCCTGTCCCTCCTTTTAGTCTTCTTGGGAGCTAATGACCGACTCCAAGACGTTGTAGCATTTACAAAGCCAAAGCAGTAAAGAATATAATGCATTATTTGTGAGTGCAAATATATATATTTGTTTAAAATGGCATTTTGTATAGTTATCAATTTTTTTTAACAATGGAAGTCGGAAGAGCTTCTAAACGGATGTAGTCGTACATTACTCCTTGAAAACGACTTTGATTGTTTGCTTGCGTTAAGTAGATTAAATTTTCTCCACAAGTGTAAAAATAGTTGCATGGTATTTTAATGTTGAACAACCAATATACACCATGTATTCCATGCCTTGCAATTGCATTGTCTCCACCAATTTTCCCGGTTGAAAACACAGGATCTTTGTTCAAATCATTAATACGTACCTAAAAATCGCAATTAATTCAAACATGATCGATTTTTCAAGATTGAACATATGTACGTATAAACATATATACCTGCAAATTAGATTGATGTGCGGAAGCAAGTGCCACTCTAAGTATATATGCTTCACTTTCATTGACATTGTCAAGGTTAAACTTGATCGTCCATGTTGTCTTCTCATAAGTGTCATTGTATGTTTTCCTATAAAAATACATTAAAGAATTGTAAAACTTATATACATGAAAAGTAAGTATTATAAAAAAAACACAACAAATTAAAGTGAACGAATAAAATATGAAGGACCTGAGAACATGAGCAAAGAAGAAATCATTGGTATAATTGCTCTCTCCAACCGTGTATACTAAATCTTCATCGGGATACAAATCTGAATATCTGTCCCACAATCCATACTGTCTAAACCTGTTTAATCAATAATGATCTTATATAATGTCTTAATGTTTTGGTGTTTTACGATTAGTAAGAACTACTAACCTGTTAGGATCACTAGTAAGAAAATTGTTGGCATATATCGGGTCAGGTTCAGGGATGTAAAACTCAGCTGCTGAGCGATCTGGAAATCCTATCTCCCATAGAGTCGGACCATCTCTTGGGGGCTCGTATACAAGATCACCCATGTAAATATTAACACCTGTTAATTAATGTTAATTTATTCTTTTTGTTAGTTATAACCTTTTTTTTAAAAGAAATATAAGATTTGCAAAGTTATATAACTTGTTAATTAATAAGTATGTACTAGGACCTGAAGTAATATTGATGATGGTTGAATTTGTATAATCACCAATAAATCCGGGGACCCAAGCGTATAGATTATATTCACCAGTGATTATGTTTGGTATTTCAAAATAGCCATCCTCATTTGCTTCGGTCCAAAATTGATATTTCTAGTTATGATTAGAGCAGAACAAGTAATTAATTAATTAGTATGAATAGTAACTGCAAATGAAAAGAAATATTTTGGATGGATCGATCACAAAATAAATACTACTTGACAAAATTGTGGTAAAAGATATTTTTTGAATAATAGTACTTCACCTTGCATTCTCTTTGCCATGATCCCGCTTCCCCTGGTGGTGCTAACCCGATGTAAGCACCCTTTGCTGATATGCAATCGTCGCCAGAAATGAGCCTACATATAAATCATGCGTTTTTAGAATTTCATATAGCGAAATCTAACATACTATTAACTTTTGTTGAAAAAATAAAATAAAATTATGGTTAAGCCATTATTCCTAATTTTATGTGTACAAGTGTTTAAATAATGCAAAGGATTTCAGATCCAGATAATATATACACGGCGGTAGCTAGGATTTGGGATTTTAATTACGTACCTATCTTGGACAAGTAACCTACCGCTAACGACACCCCGTTGATCAGCATATTGGAAGTCAGCAGAAGCGGGAAAGTCATATGGCCAGAGCTCCACTTCAATAGACATCTGAAACATAGATAACAACAATGAAGTTCGATGGATTCTTATATAAAAATATGGGGAGCTTTCTTTTTAATTTTAAATTAAAAAGCAAACCAAATTAAATTAACCTGGTTTTTGGCATCATCCCAAAGCGTAAGAGGGTCTTCCTCATCGGAAACAGTATTGAGATATATAAAAATGGGGCCAAAGACTTTCTTCCACGACTCCCCTTGAGAAAATTTGATCACCATATCGCTTCCACCATAATGAGTACTTGCAAATACCTGAATGAAGTACTCTCATTATTTATCTCACATGTATTACGAGTAGGATTTTTTTTGTAGGACTAATTAACTTACTGCAAGAGTCGTGGGTCCAACATGAGAATTCAACTCGGGTTTAATAGGACCACCAACTCTAAACTCATTACTTGGTGTAATTTGCCAAAATCCCACGCTAGGATCCTTACAAATCCATCCATGGACTCGAAGATCTTTTAATTCACAAGCATATTGATACTTATCGTCTACCTGCAACATATATTTATATCATATAACTTCACACACACACACACACACACATATATATATATATATATATATATGATTTCGTACAAATTATGTAGCTAACGATTAATTTAATCATAACTAATTAATTAATTACGATGTAACCTGTCCTTTGAAGTTAGGCTCCACAGGATCAACAAGGAGAACTGCCTCTGGATAGGCTAATTCTTCACCTCTTCCAGGCAACCGATCATCTGGCAAAGGCATATTCCTCTGCCGGTCGTCAGACATGGCCATATAATGAAACCTAATTAATTAATTATTTTATTATCTTTGCAATTAATTTAATATGCATCATATTGTTTCTAAGAATGAAATGAAAATGAAATTATGTACGTACTTGTCTTTCCTCAGCTTAAAAGCAATTCTGGTATTATCAAGATTGAAACTTGGCCATTCTTCTAAATGTTGGTAAATTGCGTAGGTATAAAAGCCTGATGATCCACGAAGCAAAATATACCTGCAAATATATATACCATATTAATGGTATCTAGTCAACTAATTATCAGTAAATTAACACCAATTAAGCAAGGTGATGATCAATTCTAGCTCATTTACTTACTCACCAGTCACCATGGACTAGGACAAAAAAGTGAATATTATTGACCAATTAATTATAGTATTAATTAACTAATGCAACAATCTTGAGAACCTTTTGTCGATTTTGAGAGGGACTAACTTTCCCTCATCATAAGAATCCCATGTTCTCGAAAATGAGAGTTCCACCTGATCTTCAGTTTCTACTACAACTTCACAACTTGTTCCTGCAAGCCTGCAGTTCATTATGCAATATTAAAATCATATATCATCGATTTCGTTAATTAAAACAATTTGAGAGTAATTTCTTAATTAACTTAAACCCAAAAAGGCAATTAGAGACAAGATCTATATCAATCGATCGAGATGAAATTACCTTTCCAAAGTACCTTTGGTTCCGGCACTTCCCGGAGGACTCCATACAACATCCCAATAACTAAAACCAAAACAAAATCCATAATATTCATATATCTATCAGTTTTGTAGTTTTATGAAACTGATAAAAGATAAAAACTTCACTTGACTTGATATAAATGAATTTATTGTGTAAGTTTTTCTATACGAATAATATTGAAATGAAACTTTTTAATTATACCCTTAATTTCACATAATTAAGAAGGACATTCATAATGCATCAAACTCCATAAAGTTAAACAGATTGTCACATCAATATTTTATATTTCATACAACTCTATAAATTTTTTCGTACAATGCATTCAACTCTATAAAATTCAATGAAACATATTTAAATATTTATTTAAGAGTTAGAAAACTTTCCTTTTTTCCATTGAGGGGTTCAATGGGCATTGAACTCAAAATCCATTGAATACCAATGTCGCATCTTATAATGGTAGAGTTTAATTAATTGAATGACAACTAAATTTGCCACCTCATTCAACTCTTTCATTTAACTCTCTATTATTGATGCTCTAACAAACAAGATTTATAATTATACCTCAACTATATTTTCCTTTACAATAATACCTCACAATTAATTAATTACCATGGACTTAACAAATTATAACTTGCCTTTCTTGAAACAAATGAATAACTAAAATCACATTTTTACCCTCGATTAGGTTCATCATTTATTATTTCAAGTAAATTGTCGATTCCTTTGTACTCTATGCCCGTAAGATGTCCTTCCGGATTTGAAAGAGTGATTTGGACAATACCGTTATTCACCACCACCTGCAATAATATTTACAAGGAAATTATGTAAATTAAAACGACTTTCAACTTTTAAAAACTAAAAATTAAAGGGTTAATGTTATAAAATGATAACCAATAGTAAGAACGTTTATCTTTATGTTACTTATCTTTTAATTGTATTAAAAATGTTATTTTTTTTTGTTTTATTGTACCATTGGGGTAGATTTCAACCTCAAAAAACTGTAACATTTAATATAACATAATATGTTTATTAAAGTAACATTCAATGTGTCCATATGACATACTATGTTTGTTTAGGTCTTTCCGGTGACATAATATGTTTGTTTAGGTCTTTCCGGTGACATAATATGGTGACAATGAGACCATTATGACATTTGATATCAAAATTACCCGATTAAAATTCATACATTGAAAAAAAATTAGTGACCTATTGAATAAAGGTAAAAAATAAGTGACCAAAAATATAAATTGTGTTTTATTAATTGTTATTTTATAACATTAATAAAGGTTTTTGTTTTTTCTTTTAATGCCTATTATACTTGGTCTACCGAATGTATCCTAATAATTTACTGAACATATAAAAAAATAAAGTGAATATTTGTTTGAGTATAACTTTTGTATGCATTTAATTAAAAATTGAGAATACTAAACACACAAAATGCAATCTCGTGACCCTTTTAATCTTTTGTCATTTTCAAGGCAGATATATGAAGCACATAAAGCAACATCAATCAATCATTGTTACCAACTTACCAATTATAATGATTTTAGAGTAAACTACAAAATATAGCTAAGAGTAAATTACAGAAATGGTACCTGTGGCTCGCTGGTACAAGATCGTCTAAGTTTCAAAAATTTGACACAGACAATCATCAATCATTATGGTTTCATTTTTTTTTCTTAAGTGGTGTTTTTGGTCTAATTTCCTTAGGTAGCTACCGCTAAGTCAGAATAAAAAACCAATATACCCCTCCTTTTTTGTTTTCTTCTATTGTGTGATCACTTGGTTTAGACCAATTATTCACTTTCTAAACCATATAGACCAATTATGTAAACCAACAACAAAATGAAATAACTCCCTAAGAGAGGAGGGAGTCATTCCCTCCCAACCCACTGAACCTACTACCACATCATTTTTTCTCTTTTATTTTTCTTCATCTTTCCGAACCCACAACACACGGAAACCCTATCTTTTTGAACCCACTCAATTAAAAAAAAAAATACAAAACAATCAAATGTAAAATCTTAATTAGCAATAGAGTTATCGGCGGTACCACTCTCGTTTCAACGAGTGGGTTGATTGGTTTCACTAACCCACTTCATCATCTCTCTCTACTTTCTCTTTCTTATTTTTCTCTTGTACCATGTGTTTTAAAACTTGTATCTTAGTTGTTTTGTATTTTTTTCAATTGAGTGGGTTGAGTGGTTTCAAAAAGATAGGATTTCCGTGTGTTGCGGGTTGGGAAAGATGAAGAAAAAGAAGAGACAAAAATTGATGTGGCAGTGGGTTCGGTGGGTTGGGAGGGAACGACTCCCTCCTCCCTAAGAAACGACCCCATCATTCACCTTGCACCCCGATAGCCCTCTTTCTGCCTCCATCACTACCATAAGCCACAACCCCCTCATAGCCGATAACTCAAACATCACCAACTCTCATCGCCCGCATATGTAACTCATCTCTCTCTCTCTCTCTCTCTCTCTATATATATATATATATATATATATATATATATATATATATATATATATATAAATGCTAATTTTGACTGGTCTACATGTAAATAAGTTGGTTTTCATTTATATTTGATTCTAGTGGAGAAAGAAATATATTGAAAATTAAAAATTCAGATAACTTGATTTTGATTATATATTTTGTAGAAAAAAATTATATCTTATAATAGTTCTATATTCAAAGAATAAAATATTTTTATCAATAATTTTACATTAATGACATCCACCTAAAAAGTAGGTTGATTTCGGATATATATATATATATATATATATATATATATATATATATATATATATATATATATATATATATATATATATATATATATATATATAGGGTTAGGTTCATGTGAGACGGATTAATTTTGTGAGACCGTGAGACGCAATCCTAGCCACTCATTTAGTAGATAAAACAAAAACATTTTTAAAATGCAAAATAATTGAAAATTTTCGAAATTCTTTTTTTCCAATATTATTTTCGGAATATATATTTTCCAAAAAAAAAATAAAAAAAATACCAAAAAAAGTAAAAAATAAATACAAAAAAAATACATTTTTTACATATTTTAGTAGAATATTTAGAATATTCTACATATCTGGCAATCTAGGAGAATATTCTAAACATTCTAAAAATCATATTAGAAATGTACAGTGTAATATTCTATTAGAATATTTCACGTATTTTTCAAAAAATAAAGTTCCGAAAATGAGAATTAAAAAAAGAATTTTTGGATTTTTCCTTTTATTTTGCATTTTAAAATTATTTTTAGATTTGGTCTCACGGTCTCACAAAATTAGCATGGTCTCAAATGAACCTGAACCTCTTTATATATATATATATATATATATATATATATATATATATATATATATATATATATATATATATATATATTAAATGGTTCATTAAGTAACATAAAAACATATGTATTGTAGAAAGGATATATATTTATTATTGATATAATAAAATAAATGGCTAACTATTGTGATGCTCTTAGTTTTTAAATAGATTTATTTATTGTATAAATAGAACCAAACTGAATAGAAATAGGAGAGTTAGTCTCATTCGTTTCATTTTTATTTCAAAAGTTGGAACCTTATGGGTATGAAACCAGTTTGGTTCAATGGACTGCACTGAATAAATGTTTTGCAAGACTAGTAGATAAGTAAACTAGTCATGAAGACATTCTGTCGCTATAAGCATCAATTTGTGTCGGAAGATTCTAATCCACTTCAGTTTTTGGTTTCTTATAACCACTAAATCAGTTGTGATGGATTACGATGGTCGATAGAATCAGTGGAAATTAGTGGCAAAGTTTCATTAGTTCTGGTAGTTTGGGCTAATTATAAAGAAAGATATATATTACAAGAAACGATACCTACATGATTCTCTTGGAACGATAGGTTCACCATTTCTGTTGTGCTTGCCATTGACGATCTTCGAGCTCTTGTTACGCATAACCTATCTGCACTATGCCAATATACATACATTCAGATTTTCAGAAAACATCGGATGAAGAAAAACAATAAATAAAGTAGTAACTTATCATCCATTTTCAATCAAAATATAATTAACCTGCTGAAAAAATACCGAAGCTTAAAGCGTAGAGAAAGAGAAAACGAGGATACATTAATTAGACTCTTCTTGTTGAATGAGTTCAACCCAAGAAACCTCCATACCATATATATATATATATATATATATATATATATATATATATATATATATATACACCATAAAACCTTTAATTTGTTTTTTAAAACCCAACTTAAAAGTGTGTAAAGGGATCTTCAAGCTATATTGATGATATGACAAATTATTTTAAAAACTATCAAAATTACTAAATATGAAGTTAGGGGTGAAAAAAATAAACGTTGTTGTTGCTAAAAATGTTTTTTGTTTTTATTTTTTGGTTAAATCATAAATAATCGTCCGATGGTTAAACCATAAAAAGATGAAATTAAAGTTACTTTTATGTAATTTAAAGTTTTAGGGATATAAAAACCTCTTATAACAATTAGTCATTTTTTTGATTTGTATTTTCAAAGTCTCAATGGTTAAATAAAAAAATTTGATGGTTAATTTGAAAACAATTTAAACTTCAATAATAATTATGGAAATTGGTTTAAAAAAAGCTTTTAAAAATAATTAGTAATTGGAAATAATCTAAAGTAATATTTTTTTCCTAACCTTAAATTTCATGAAGTGAACAAGATTTGTTCCTGAATTTGTTACCACAATAATGTTCATTATACGATATGTATGCAATCATTTATGATGTACATTATCTGAAATTCATGTTAGAAAAGTAATTCTGATATTTAAATATTATGATATTTCTGTAAAAAAGATACATAATTTTTTAGGCCCCAACAAAATTACTCACGGACTCCGGTAGAAAACACACACTCGTGATTGTATAAGTGGAAAGAGAATGACCGGGGAAAAAGGAAAACATTTGATTATTAATTAAAATTCTGCCGTTTTAAAAAAAATAATACTTTAATTATTTTTAATGATTTTAAATCCCAAAAATACTTTCCATAACTTTTTGTAAATAATACTGTTTTTTTTTCTTAAAAAGGGATTAAATTCGTTGATGGAAGATGGTTACCTCAAGTCAAGTATCTATGAACATCTTTAATCTCTAATATATAATGACCAAGGAAAAAGGAAAATATTTGATTATTAATTAAATTTAATTATTGTTAATGATTTTTAAATCCCAAAAATACTTTCAGCCTAACAAATATGAATATTTTCCATAACTTTTTGTAAATAATATTGTTTTTCTTCTTAGAATAGAATTAAATTCGTTATTATGGACGATGGTTAAAGTACCAAGTTATGATAAGTTGTGAACATCTCTAATCTCTAATATATATTAAAAGAAAACTTTAATTCTAAAATGAAAAAAAATATATGGGCTCTTATTAATGTCCATCAATCTTTACTACATCTAATTGTAACTTATGCTCTTAACTTGAAAACCCTAATATCCTCTATACACCATATAGTCACCGTCAAACCACATCTCCTATGTCTCTCTCCTTTCTCTCTTGATTCTCCATCAACCATTTCTTATGACCACCATACGTCGCCGATACAATCTTCAATAAGGTAACCGATCAGGAACTCCCCCCCTCCCCCCCCCCCCCCAATCCCATTAACCCTCACGTGCTTAACTAAATCTCTTTTCTTAATCTGCCTCCTTCATTAACTTTTCGTTGCTGAACTGAACAATCACTATCAATATTAATCTTACAGGTAACATCTTTTCAAACCCATAGCAAGCACTTGTCATCCCTTGGTTTTCATCGAATATCATAATTTTTAAGGTATATTGTGCCATCTAATCTTCGGAGTTGCTTAAATATAAACAATTATGATGATATTACACCAAATATATGTTAAATTTCTCCTTTATCTATCTGAATGTTTTCATTTATTTCAGATTAGATTTAATCAATACGTTTAGGATTTTGAAATAAAGGGTCGTATTTGTATCTTATCATATATATAAGCCATGAATTGATTTTGCATATATGATATCAAGAAGGAGAGATGGAAACTTGCTGATGAAGGGTAAAACTCATTTTTATTATTTTGTAAGATGTGCTAAATGAATTTATTTAATCTATAAATAAGAATTATGTATAATTAGTTTTCACAATAGGTAGTAGGTGTTGACGTACCCCATCGGGAGTCCGTCAAATACAACGGAGCCGTCAGTCTGGCAAACGAATCCGAACGACGAACAACTAAAGTCGGGTCCTCGCGTTCGCTCGTGCCCTCGCGCCCCCGTACTTATTCCTTAGCGCCAAAGCATCAAGGCCAGAGTCGAGACAAAACAGTACCAACCCACTCACAGGGCGACAGGTGTGGTTTCTAAAATATCATACCTGGAGAACCTACACCAATGGCAGGAAACCACTTGCGGAACACGGTTCACTAATCAGAGTCCACCTGGCTCTGGCGGAACCTGAAAAGGTAGAAAGTACTGACGGGGATCTGTCCCCCCTTTGCCACATGTATAAAAGGCACCCTTCTCCCCCAAGAGAAGGGGCCGAGATCTCTAACCCTTCAACACTCTCTTTACACTTTTAAACCTCTCTCTCAGACCCTCACTTCCTTGATCGTCAGAGCCTCGTTCCGGGACAACCTCCCGTACGACGTCTGACGGTCTCCTCTTCTTTGTTGTGATCCACAGGCTCTTCATCCCCACCCACAGAAAGACGAAGTTAAGTCGGTGACATATCACAACAGTTGGCGCCAGCCGTACGTACACACAGTGAGGCACAACCCAATAAACAAAAAAACGTGCCTACAATGGTGAGCACGCGCACAACGCAGGCGCAACACGACAACATCGGGCCATACGGTGTTGTCACACGCAGAACGGCGACCACCTGGTGCCAATCTATTACTTCCTTAGTAAACGAAGCGCTGACACCAGACACACAACGAAAGCAAAATGGAGTGTTCACGGCCAACAGGTCATGCAGGAAACAAGAACGAACTCGAGCAAACCACGGCGTGCAAGCGTTGACCCAACAGATCAATAGTATTAACTTTTCACCAGACGACCCGAGACCACCAGAATGGGATCCCAGAGACCCAATCCTCATGACCGCATGCATAAGACACAAACAAATCCACCGAGTCTACATAGATAACGGCAGTAGCACATACATCTTATACGAACATTGCTTCCGGCAATTACTAGAAGAAAGAGTTGAAGCCCCCAGCAGGTGGACCCCTGGTCGGCTTCACAGGGCATAGTCTATGGCCCCTCGGCACAATACACCTCCCACTGACACTATTCAACCACGGCAGGAGAGAGAACAAAACACGAACAATCGAATTCTCTGTAATCCGTCACCCATCAGAACAAAATATATTGTTAGGGCGTCCAACACTCTACGAGCTACAGGCAGTACCGTCAACAATTCACGGCACATACAATTTTAGCAAAAGGACCAGATCAGTGACCATCATCGCCGATGCCCCATACAGATGGACTTGTCACCAGATCATGGCGGCGGCGGACCTGGTCAGTGCCTCCAAAAAGTACAAAGAAGACCACTCGCTGGAAAAGCACGTCATACACAATGAACACCAACAAGCAATAAAATCGGAGCTAACCTATTGGCGGAAATCAAAGCCCAACTAGTCGCATTACTAAAATGGTTCGTCGGGGTCTTCGCATGGCAACCCGCAGATATGACAGGTGTAGATCGAAGGATCATCGAACATAACCTTAACATCCTATCGAGCAGTGCTCCGATTAAACAAAGAAGGAGGTGGCAGGCGAGTGATAGAAACAAATCGATTAATGAAGAAGTTTCGAAACTCGTGGTTGCGGGCATTCTCCAGGAAGAAATGTTCCCCACATGGATAGTAAACCCGGTTATGGTAAAGAAGTATGATGCCTCATGGCGAATGTGCATCGACTACTCCGAATTGAACAACGCATGCCCAAAAGACCACTATCCCCTCCTCGAAATCGACCAAAAGGTCGAACCCTGGAAGGTTTCCAACTCTAATGCTTTCTTGACGCCTACAAAGGCTACTACCAAGTCCATATGTGGCAAGAAGACGAGGAAAAGACAACCTTCCACATTGATCGAGGCATGTTCTGCTACCAGAAGATGCCATTCGGCCTAAGAACTGTAACGACCCAATTTTTAAAAGAAAATTTTCATTTTTCAATAGCCAAAAATACTTTCCATAAACCACAAGATCTCAAATACAATTGTTTTCAAATTCATAAATAACCATGTTATTTCAAATCATCAGAGTGTCCCATAAAAATGCCTGAGAGAGAGTGCACACCGCGTCATCAAGCCTTGCCCTTGCCCTTAGGGTCGGATGTACCTGAAACAAATCCACAAACTATAAGCTAATGCTTAGTGAGTTCCCCAGAAAATACCCCACACAATCCACATAAACACATAATCATATTAGCTATAAAAGCTATATATATCACAACAGCCATGCATTCAAACATATAAGGATGCCATGGGCTCCCCTACATGGTCTTATACCAAAGTGCCATGGGCTCCCCCACATGGTCTTTCATCTAATTGCCATGGGCTCCCCCATGGTCTTTAACTGACAAGCCATGGGCTCCCCCACATGGTCTTATATCTAAGTGCCATGGGCTCCCCCCATGGTCTTCCCTGCAAGTATCATATAAACACTAGCATACCACTTAGCATATAGCTAACTATCATACCACATATCTCTACTTCAACTAGTGTAGCACATATCACAAAATGGGCCGGCCTTGGTGCCTTAGACCCATTGGTATGGTGAGGAGACTCATCTCTCGAATGCTGAACTGACAAGGTCAGATCCGATAAGTCCAACGCACAGCTCCAACTCAACTGCCTATAAGCATCATTGTGATTTACTTGTTACAATCCCGAAATACCACAAATACCCTCAAAGTCAACCCTGGTCAACCCTGATCAAAGTCAAGGTCAACAGTCGAGGTCAACAGTCCATGTTGACCTCAACTCGTCGAGTGCATCCAGCAACTCGTCGAGTCACTTGAGTAACTCATCAACTCGCCGAGTTACCTATGTAACTCGTCGAGTTCCTTAATGTCCAGAAGACCGAAAACTCATGCAGACCAAAAGCTCTAATCCTTCATTGCAC